AATGTAAGAACAGGAAGAAGTTTATGGCTTTGATGGTAATACCTTTTTCTTTTTTGTGCAATTGGGTTGGCCGTTGAGATGGTAAGAGCCTTATCTTGGCAGGGTAACATGGGGAGGTTGCAGCCATGGCGGTTTCTGATTAAACCCAATGACTGATAAAATTGAAGTCCATCTGTGCATGTATATTGTCTGTATACTACATACATGCACACACACGTACACACGTCATGTATATTGTCTGTATACTACACACATGTACACACGTCAGGTGAGAATGGTAAAAATGGTCCCTTATTGAGGCAGTGATGATCTTTCAATCTATCCTCCCAAGCTAGTAGCTGAGCATAGGGAGTACCCGACATGTATCTTGGTGGGCAATGACCCAAATACATGTGATTGTTACGCGCAATTGGGGCATATTTAGCCAAGGTATGGCTGGACTTTCTTTGCTTGAGCATAAATACAGATCTGAGCCTCGATTCACTTATACAGTCAGACCTCTATGTAGCAGTTGTATTCTTTGACAACATTTCACTATAACAGTCATGTTTTCTGTGGGACCGATCTTTCACGTTAAGTTGTATTATATGTTCTCTGTGGCAACATTTCGCTATAGTAGCCAAAAATATCGGGACAAACGATGCTGATGCTGCTATAGAGAGGTTTGGTTGTAACTTACTTTTTGTATATTTGGTATGGAGGAAACTATTTCAGTGAAGCATTCATTTCCACATATAAGACCTTCGACATGAGGCCCATAATTTTGGGAGGTCAAAAGAGATTACACAACAACAACAACCCAGTGTAGTCCCAAAAGTGGGGTATGGGGTGGGTGGGGTGTAGGTGGACGTTACCCCTACCTTTGTGGGGTAGAGGAGCTGTTTCCGATAGACCCTCAGCTCACAAAAGAGAAGGCCACGCCATTGCTGTAAAATCACTGGTTGCATGCAAAAGAGAGCCTCCATTGCAGGCCATCTTGGGATTTGCCTGGCCAAGATACGGGTTGTATTGTCTTCAATGCCCCAGTTTGTTAACCCCATCAGTTGAGTGAACCATTGTTGAGGTCCAAAACAATTAAGGCACTATAAATATGAAGCATTAGGTGAAACGAAAATGGAAACAATCTTATTTGTTTAAGTCTAAGTCTGCTGTATTCAAAGAGTTGTTTGACATAGTTTTACCCCTCTGTGTCATTCTTAGAAGCCAATGATCACCCAAAATTTCCCAAATTCTAACCACTCTTTTATTTAGCAAAATAAGTTCAATGAGGCAGTGATGATTTTTATTCTTTATTCATCAGATGGTTGAGCCTTGCTATAGCTTGGTGTGGCAGCCTTTTTGGGGGGGGGGGGGTCTTGTGAGATTTGGAGCTATTTTAGTTTCTGCGTATCACAAAGGCTCCTTAAGCTTGCAGCCATGGCGGGGCCTCCTAAATGTCTGTTAATGTTCAAAATGAGGCTTTTATGGAACTCGAGGAATGTTGAGATTTTCTAAGGGTGTTTGTTACTCCCTTCCTCTGAAGTTCAATTAAGCCAATGAATTTCCCTATACCTTTTTTACGCAGGAAAATTAACAGTCCTTTATTACAACAACAATAACATACCCAGTGAAATCCCTCAAGTGGAAGGTTAACAGCCCTTTCATTAAAAATATGCCGATTATGGTAATGATGGTGAAGATAGCCATGTTTATGGTCGTAATAAGGAAAAGGCCACATACATAGACGCCCCTTAAACTTGATACAATTTGTCTGTTTGCCTCTTAAAACTTGTCCGGAGAAATCCTTTTTACTCGGATCCTAACCCCTAACCTTTGTGATGAGTCTATGATGATATTCTCCAGGAAGCTCGAAAAGTCACATTTTTGAGCGAATTTGTACCTTGGTTAGGCAAAGGTAGGAAGGTTTGTGAGATGAGTTCTTATGTGCTCTCTCACAGAGGAGGCTGCTTCTTGCAGCTATGGCGGATTGCCCATTTTTCTGATATATTTAAGGATGATCTGAGCCACTTTTCTGTTAAACTTAGTTCTTCAATGAGTAGTCCTTCCATTACATTCTGTTCATGTTCTTTCTTCTGTTTTTGAAGAATCCCAATTTCGAAAGAATTATTTTATGTACTCATCTCCATATTTTCCTAGAGAGAAATTATTAGGCATATGTGACAAGTCCAAAGCTTTTATGTATATGTGAATTCATGTACTTTCAGAGGCTAATTGTTGCATAATTTATCTTACACAGTATCCACACTTTCATGCCTTGTTTTAATCTTGAAAAATCCCAAGTTTCAGAGGCAATGATGATTTTTCTTAATGAGAAGTGAAAGATTTGGAGTTGATTCATGGCCTGGCTTGGCAAGATAAATCGGAAGGTCTTTCTTATAAGCCAACCGATGATTGCAGCCATGTCAGTGTTAACTCTGCTCTTTTCTCTGATTAAATAGGCGAAAATCTGAGCCTCATCTTTTGTTTATTTACATTTTTTTGACTAGTCTCTTAGCAAATAGTTTGACTAGAAATATTTGAAATGAGGCTAAATACATTTGATCCAGATGATTTTTTATGGTCTTGAGACTCTTCTCTCTTTGTTGTTTCCAAATTTTTGTTCCTATTCCTAGGGCTGATTGGTTGGAGAAAGGCTTAAAACTAAAATAAGGATGTTTAGATTTAGAAGAAACGTATAGTGGTTTTTGTAATCAAATCAATATGCTTTTTGAAAAGTTTGAGCAAATCTTTCTCATAAAAGAGTATTTCAAAGAGTGAAAAAGAGTTGTCTTTTTTAGTTTTTCTAGAATAGCATGGTATTGAATTTTCCGTTTCTTATTCATTTGTTCATGTTCTTGTATAAAAGTTATAACTTAGTTTTATTTTGTCAATGGTTGCCCTTATTATATAAGCTCATGCTTATAGTTATCTAAAAATCAAGTCACTTTTGTATTTGGGTAAGCATCAATTTTTTCCACTTTTGAGTTTTGCAGCGTTCAAAAGGCTTACTTTTTATGTGTATGTAATATGTATTGTGTAGTAAATAAGAAGGCTATGAGAGCTTCTGAGAGCAGCAACCAAAGGACAGATGCATCCATAATGGTGTTACATTGCCACTCTGCTTGATCTGAGTCACAACTGCTACAACACATCCGATCTTTTCTTTTCATGGTTCTTTGTTCTATTATTTAGAATCTCACGTTCTCTTTTATTTTGAGTGACTTGATGTAGATTGGAGAGAGGTTATGGTGTCTCCAATTTCTCATAATCATTTTGTCTTTGCGCAAAGGCTGTGGCCTGTCCACAGTTGACTTCTAACTCCGTAGAGATAAATTTCAAGCAATTCAATGAATTTAGGAGCTAAGATTTTGTTTTTTGGTGATCATTCATGCCTAGTCAAAATTGAGATTCAGATTCAGCATAGAACTATTATTTCATACTGTTGTTGAGGAGCCAAATATTAAGTGGTCATGAAGCTAGCCTCTTGGAGATTTCTTGGAATAACTGAGATATACAATTGCATCAACTAGGAATGACAGCATTTTCAGTGTGGTTGACCATTTCCATTATGCCTATGATGTCTATTTTCTTCAGTTTGAGTTATATACGCTGTCAATGTGATTACTTTTTTACAGTATTAGGTCATATTTGTATGTTGTGGGAGGTAGCCTGTCGTATTTTAAGATCACAGATCTACATTTTATGGAGACTTACCTATAGATATCCTTTCAGCGACCTGTAGTGTAAAAATTATTCACACTGATGGTGTATCTTAACATAAACTCATTTTCTTTTAGCTCTAACCTCACCTGCTATTTTTTCTTCATATATGTGTTTGTGTAACCAACCCCCATATATAAGTACTATTTTGATCATTTTCGTTGACTGTTATACTCTGCTCCTCTAAGGTTGCATTTCCATGGCAAATCAACAGCAAAACCATGCAACGATGTGCTGGAAAAGGGAAAATAACACGGATGTAATGGTTAGTTTTACTGATCAGATGGACTTGGGTGTTATTGTTTTACCTCTGCATCTTGATGGGTTTGCAGCCGTGGAAGTGTTGAAGAACTCAATGTCTGAGATCAATTGCTTATTATGAGTCTCAAATCTTATCAAAACAATCTATAGATTTGATTTTCAGCTTGTGGATTTGCAGTGGACAAAATCTTAGACATTCTTACTAGTATTAATGGTCAAGTCTTGGACTGAAAATTATGTTTTACTGTACGCCTTTTTGCATCTTGTGTCTATTGGTGTTTCGTCTACCTTTTTCGTTCTTCTTTTCCAGCAGCTCTAAAGTTAGATGGACTATGCCACAGTCGACAATAGATACTTTTGAGTTGTTGGAACAATGTGAGCAGCTATGCTAGGCAGAAGAAAAGGCGGAACTTGTTACCAGCTTGTATATGGTGGATAAGCTCGAAAGTAGAGGAATGCTTGGCGTTTTGAAGAGAAGCAGCTCCATCCAGAAGATGAAGCTGAACTGTATACTGCTTTTTCATTTTTGTTGTAAAGAAAGATGTGGAAAATGATTATGATTCCATACTAAACATTAGAGGTTTCTTGTAAAATGAACAAGAGATGTTTAGTTGCTGTTTTTCTGTTTTATTTTTGAAATATGTACAGAAGCCTCAGCACACCCTTGTGCTGGTTGATATAATACAAATGTTACCATTAACAAAAGAACAAATATAAAGGTACTCAGGATCATGAAACTTTATCATTTGTTGAGAATTGGAATGAGCTCATTTTACAAAAAAAACAACCTGGTGCTAGTTATAGCGTGAGGCGGAGTCAGGATTAGGAGTTCAGAGATTGTAAATTTCCTTATACAAGTATGCTCCTTCCTTATCATTGAGCCGTTAATCAATTTTATTGGGGGTTTACAAGTTATTTTACATATATATTTATTTCATTTTCAGTACAAATATAGAATCTACGAAAAAATTAGCCATTAACCCCCACCTAGCTCCGCCTCGGGCTATAGCAACTTATGTTCTCTATAGCCTCTCTATCTATATAAAGAGTCTTTTAGTGAAGAAAATGAGAATCAGTTCAGCCCAGAATGAAGAATGAGGCCAACTGAGAGAACACAAAAATGGATTTCATGGAGGATGGTTGCCATCTCTGATTGGCCTATGATTTCTCTGTCCGAACAAACAAACAACCCTCCTTATGAAAATTCCAAAAAAAAGAAAAAAAAATTATTACTTCTTTCGTTCCATTTTTACTTGGTTTTGCAAAATGTCCACAAATTGCTGTAGAAAAGATGGAAAGAGGCAGTGATGACATTGCTGTGTGATGATTCTGGGCTGAAATTTGGGGCATGGAGAAAACCCGACTCGTATCTTGGCGGGGCAAAACCCGAATCATGCAAAACCGGTTCATTTGTTTTTGCAGCCATGGCGTTGTCGTCTTCTTCTCCTCTTTGCCCCCATTTTACACAGATCTGAGCCTCATTTTCGAATTCTGACGGAAACCCAGTTCATTTTAGCTCAAAAGACTGAGGCAATCGGAGAAAATGGGGATTTTTTTTTCATCTCCGGTATGTCAATGATTTCTTCTTTGCTCTTAGTTAACACTCCTTTAAGCTATGTAATTTCCTAGATTTTAAGGGTGGGTATAAAATTGCATGTTTTGGGGATATAAGTTCTTTAGAAACTGAAATTATACGAAAATATTAACTTCTGTCTCGCGATAAAGTTGTTTGTTATGAATGCATAAACTAAAGACCAACACAAAATAGGGGCAAATGTGTGAATGATCCAGTAATGGAAGCTCAGCCCTGTATGAAGAATGAGGCCAACAGGAGAAAAAAGGGAAGTTCTTTGGAGGGTGGTTGCCCTCTCTGATTGGCCTGTGATTTCTCTTCTAACCAAATTAACAACCCTCTATAAAGTGGAAAAAAGAAACGATGTTTGTTGTCATTGCCTTCAATGGTGGCAATGTGATGCTGATGAAAGTTGTACTATTCAATTTTCTGATTATTCTGAGCTACATTTAGTTGCATGGTCATAAGTTCTTTAAGGGTGGCAGGACAAAAGTGCAAATGACCCTCTGAGCTAAGGTCGGCTTATGCTTTAAAGCTACTAAAAAGCAGTCCAATCCTAACAGGCTCTTGTTAAAATTTTCTTGTTAAGGTTGTTCAAACGGGCTCTTCTGGAAAAGTTCCCATTTTTAGGCAGTGATGATATTTGCTAATTTGGGCTGATGTTTATTGTTTGGGGCATGGAGACAATCTGACCCGTATCTTGGCATGGCAAATCCGGATGGCTTGTGATAGAGTCTTCTCTTTCACATGCAACTGGTTCTTTTGCAGCCATGGCGGTTGTTGCCTTCTCTTTGCCCCAATTTTTTGCAGATCTGAGCCTCAATTTCCAACTAGTCCAACTGGATGTCCCAGGACTCGAAGAGTTCTGAACCTAAATGATGAAAAAACCCTATGTATACACACACACACACAAAAACCACATCGTGAGAAAATGTCAAAAATGGTCCCTTATCGGGGCAATGATGATCTTTCAATCTATCCTCTTTAGCTAGAAATTGAGCATTGAGAGTACCTGGCCGGTATCTTGGCGGGGCAATGACCTGGATGCCTGTGATTTTGTTGCATGCAACTTGGGAATATTTGCAGCCATGGCGTGACCGGACTCCGACTTTCTTTGCCCGAGTATAAGATGGATCTGAGCCTCAATTGTCACTTATGGGTGTATTTGCTATGGAGGAAAATGTTTTAGTGTTCACTACAATAAAAGAGACATTTTGTGTCAATAGAATTTTCTCTTACTGACAATATTTATTGCTGCAAAAACATTTAGCTGCAAATTAAGTTAATGCCATTGCATCTAAAGTCGCTAAAGTCTTAAGTGACATTTATATAGAGTGATGTTTATAAATACTCATATATGTTATTGCCGCTAAATATATTCTAGTAGCGATTATATCATTGCCACAAAATCCTTTGTTTGTTGTAGTAGAATCAGCCCTAAAGTGGCTACCTTGTGTACAACACCATACTTAAATGTGATCCCATTATGGTCTGGAAAGTGGCTACCTTGTGTCATTTCTACATGTAATAAGACTTTCGACATGAGGCCCATAATGAGGCTGTGATGATTTTCATTCTTTACTCATCAGATGGTTGAGCTTCACTATATCTTGGCTTGGCATCTTTTGGGGGGTCTTGTGAGATATTGGAGCTATTTGGGTTTCTGCCTCTCACAAAGACTCCTTAAGCTTGCAGCCATGGTGGGGTTTAGCTTATGTTTGAGAAAAGCCGAATCTGAGCCTCCCAAATCTGTTTGTGTGAAAGAATGAGGCTCTTTATGCTACCCAACTTATGCTGCATAACTTAATTCCTATGGAACTTATGCTGCATAACTTAATTCCTATGGAACTTATGCTGAGCGAGACAAAAGGTTCTCCAAACTTATACAGAAACAAGAGCTCCTGATTTTGGGGAAGTCCATGCAAAAACTTGTTACTTTAATGCATTGAGAAAATCTGACCTGTATCTTGGCAGGGCAACCCGGTATGACGTCATCTGTAAACTGGCGTTTGCAGCCATGGCATTGGCCCTTTCTCTTTGCATGTTCATATACAACAAAATATGAGCACTAAAGTCGATGGTAAATTTCTCAGTTGGTCACTCAACTCAATGCGGGTTCTCAGGAACCTGAATACCCTATAGGGTTCAGTCTGAGCAACATAGAATACATTCAATGAGGCAATGAAGATGTTCATTCTTTAAGAACCATATAGTTGAACTTTGTTGTAACTTGGTGTGGCAGCTCTAAGGGTCTGTGAGGTGAGAGAACCATATTGGTTTTCATCTCACTAGGCTATTATGCTTGCAGCCATGGCATAGTTTAGCTTTTTCTGAGAAAAAATAAAATCTGAGCCTCCCAAGTATCTGTTTTGTTTAGAGAATGAGGCTTTTTATTGAACTCGGGAATGGTAGAGATTTTCTAAGGGCGGTTAACTCTTTCTCCTAAGTTCAATTTTGCCAATGAATTATCCTACGCTTTTGTTATAAATATAAAGTTTAACAGCCCTTTCAATTAGCAGAATGCTCTTCATGATATTGATGATATGATTGCCATGATTATGGTAATAATAAAGGAAAATATATGTTTTGCCCCTTTAACTTGTGGAAAACCCCGAACTAAACTTTTTGAATAAGGCTGTGATGATATTCTCCAAGAAGTTCGAAAATCAGATTTTTGAACTGATTTATATCTTGTCTAGACAACGGCAGGGGAATTTGTGAGGATGCTTTTTGCACCCATGGTGGATTGGCTCTTTTTTCTGATTGATTTTCACTCAAATCTGAGCCTCTTTTCTGTTTAAAGTATAGTTCTACAATATTTAGTCTTTCTCTTTCATTCTTGGTACGATCAGATCATATCCCTTTGAGAAAGAAACTTTTTATGCATCCATCTATACAATTTCCCCAAATTGTTAGGTACATACTGATATGAGACAAGGCCAAAGGGAATGGAAGTGAATATTGAGGATCCGTATATTAATGTTGCTGTATTTTACTTTTTTTATCAAGATTTGTTGCTGCATTTTTCCACATATTCAAACTTTGATGTCTTGTTTTAATCTTGAACGCTCCAAGTTTCCGAGGCAGTGAAGATTATTCATAATGAAAATGAAAGTGAAGAAAATTAGAGTTGATTCGTAGCCTGGCTTGCGAGTTCAATCGGAAGGTCTTATAAGGCAACTGTTGCTTGCAGCCAGGGCACTGTTCAAACTCTGCTCTTCCTTTTCTTTGATTAAATAGGCGAAAATCTGAGTCTCATTCTTAACTTTGTCCATTTGCTTTTTTTGTTTTTTTTGTTTTACTAGTCTTTCTGGAAAGAGATTTAGATTACCATCACTGTGGAACCACTTAAATCAATAGCTATCTCCTAACTCCAAAAGCCAAAAGGAAAAATAAATGATTCTGCATTGAGTACATGCATTTGTCATCTTGATTTGGTTGACGAAAATTGGATCCTCGCCCACATGAAACGGTAATCATTTTTACCTTCAATTTGCTTTTCTGTTGGTGGAATATTGTCAAACTTGACATGAACAATATCCACATGTGCTTTTTTTTTGAGGTCATTTTTTTTGGTTGTAATTGCAGCATCCACTGAATCAGTGGCGTAGCCGGAAATTTCATGAAGGATGTTCATAAATGTGGACATGGACTGTAGTAATAACCGATACGATAAGCTAAACACATGCTCACATTTCCACTACCTAATTTTGGAACTGTTGGGAGATTATTGATCAAAAGCACCATAATGGCCAAGTTAATGGTGTATTCTCATTCCTGATTAGAGGTACCAGATGGGCAAATTAATTGGTAAGTAACCACTTTTAACACTTGTTATTAAATATATTAGTCAATGTCTTAAAAGGTATTAATGTCCCTGAAACACTTCTAATACCTTTTGAGAAAGTTTGATAATCAATAGCTATTTAATTTGAGAAAGAATATTTTTATTTATTATTTTTATTATTATTATTATCACATAAAGAACCTATAATCAATTGGAAAATAAATAATTTGACACGTTAGATATATCTTTTAATTTATTTAATTATAATTATAATATATTGTTACATGTCTTAAATCTTGTTATTCTTTAAGTTATTGTATCATTAATAATTTGTTCTTAAAAATATTCCATATCTTATTAAAATTTGGTTCAACAATTAGATTCAACGATCTCATAGAGTAAGATAATAATTTATTAAGTTTTTTAAATATTAACCGTTCATTACGCCATACTAGTTGAAAAAGAACCCCACCAAATCCTAATTGAAGAATAGGTCAAAGCAATAGAGATAGAGAGAAGAGGAAGCTCCAACTATGACCAAAAAGAATAGGTCAGTACCCCCTCGTTGTTTCATGATGTATCATATTGTATTATATTCTATCGTATTATATTGTTTTGATGAATATAATTGTTGGATAGATGTATGCTACTATAAAAAATAATTAAATTTGCAGGGGAAAGCTGATGGATGTTGATAATCATCAGGTTACTACATGGGCCTAACCATTGTTTAAGAACAGAACAAGTTCACTTCCCTGAAGAAATAATTGTGGACATCCTCAAAAGATTACCCGTGCGGTCTCTTCTTCGATTTAAATGTGTTTCAAATTTTTGGAAGACGTTAATCTTTAAGCCTTACTTTAAGATGAAGCATCAAAGTCATGTCATGAATGACTTAGTCTATGGCGTGTCGGTGAGGAAAACAAGTTTAATTTATACTCTTCTCCTTTATCTTTGGTTCAACCAGCTGTTGAGGATATAGAAAAATTTGATTCTCCTTCAAATCGCAAACCATCAACTTGTATGTTGCATTGTTCTTGCGATGGGTTGGTTCTTCTCTCAATTGCTGACCGCCTTTTGGTGTGGAACCCCTCTACAAGAGAATCAATTGAACTTCCACGTTTAGAATACACAAGAGAGCATTGTTCTTATGGATTGGGATATGATTCAACTAGTGATGACTACAAAATCCTTAAGTTTCACTTTGATGGCAGTGAAATTCTAGCACTCAAAAGTGGTTCATGGAGAAATAACATTAAATGTTGAGGTGGCTTTGAACCTTCGTTGAATCTTCCTGTCGATTCTCTTGCATTTCTACATGGAGCATTTCATTGGGTTTGTTACGTACAAAAAAAAATTTGTGTGTTACATTTAGTATTTCAGATGAGGTGTTCGGAAAGATGCAGTTGCTAGAGCCAATGTTGGAAAAAGTCTATGATTTTACCAATTATGGAGTTTCAATATTGGGAGGAAAGCTTTGCTTTTATTGTGCTCATTGTGCTTACAGTAATCCGAGAGAGTCTACTTTCATGTTGTGGCTAATGAAGGACTATAGTGTCAAGGAATCTTGGATACTATCGTATACAATACAAGATAATTATTTGTTTTTTCTCAAACCGATACAAGAAGATAAGGATTTGTTGGATTTGTTTTTTCTCAGACCGATACATATGTTTGCTGATGGTGAAGTGCTACTCAACTATCGATGTATAGACTATGTAGGGTCTAACTTACCATTTAGGACATCCAAAGGACCATTTGGATTGTGGCCTGAAAATAATACCTTGATACAAGGAATTATTTATACAGAAAGCTTGATCTCTCCAAAATCATTTATTTAGCGTATGCTTATGTATATGATCGAGACACTTTATACTTTTTTTGGTTTTTGAATATCATGTAACAAACTTTTAATTTTGATAAGTTTATCTATTGCACACTAATTTTTGTTATGTAAAACTGTTAGCTCTCTTATTTCGTGTTATTACATGATCGACTCTTTCAATTACACTAATTTTAAATGGGTTGATATCAATGAAGACTCATTTTTTCATCAGATAAACGAAGATTATGTAAACACTTACTCGAGATCTCACTTCATGATAATTGGAATGCATTTACTTCACTGCATTGCAATGGTATCCTTGTTATCAATTTCATAAGTGAATAACACCTCATGACATTACATGCGAGATGACTCGGGAAAACCATCAAAATTCCCTCAAATTCTTATCGTCTTACAAAAAGAGTATATCAAATGAACAAATTATAGTTCATAAATCATAAATAAGATATTGGAATATCTTAAGATATCACCACTTATAAATCATGCATATCCTTATTCTTTTTATAAATAAAAATATTCGGGATTGTTGTAAGTTATTACAAAGATTTAGTGATTTAATAAATCAATAATAGTAGATAGACATACGCATCCTACCTGACGTCTTATGTGGCAATTCATGTCCTATATCTATTTATTCAACTTTATACAAATTTAAGTATTAAAATCAACTTAAGAGACGCGTTTATATATCATGTGAAAAAGTGTTTGGATCCTTTACAACCATAAGACCACTAGGCTTTTCATTTGAAAGGTGACTCCTATGATTTCCATGTCAACGATTGATGACTTGCTATTACCGGTTACCATCTGTCCTGTTTTCTTAAACAAGAATCTTACATAATACTCACATTTCTGCATTTCTCTCTCTCTCTTTGTTTCTCCATAGGTTTAAGGTATGTCCTTTTTCTCATTTTTTTTATATTCATATTATTTTAAGACAGTTCTGTTTTGCTTTACATGGTTTTTTTTCTTGATTTTTTAAAGTAAGTAGTTAAAATTTGAGCTCAATTTTATGCTCAAGTCACTGAGTATGGACTATTTATAGGGTTTAGAATTGGTTAATTTGTGTAAGTTTTTGCTGGCTATTTCACTAAGTGACTGGTCCTGTTTATATAGTGATAAAGATTCAATTCTGTTAATGCAAGATCTGCTGTTTGGTTTCTTGATTTTATGGGGTTGTTAAGTTTATGAGAGATTTTAATTGTGGGGTTGTCTGTTAATTAGTGATAAAGATTCAATTTTTAATGCAGTATCTGCTGTTTCTTTTCTTTATTTTATGGGGTAGTTAAGGTTTCTGTCTTTTATGCTATTTTTGGAGAGATTTTACTTGTGGGCAGTCTGTATAGTGATAAAGATTCAATTTTTAATGCAGAATCTGCTGTTTCTTTTCTTGATTGTATATGGGGTTGTTAATGTTTCTGTCTTTTTTGCTATTTTTTGACAATTGTGATAAAGATTTAATTTTTAATGCAGAATCTTCTGTTTGCTTTCTTGATTTTATGGGGTTGTTAAAGTTTCAGTCTTTTTTGCTTTTTTTTCTTCTTCTTTTCTGAGAGATATTACTTGTGGTAGTTTGTTAAATAGTGATGAAGATTCAATTTTGTATATGCTGAATTTGCTGTTTGTTTTCTTGATTCTATGGGGTTGTCGAAATTTATGTCTTTTTGCTATTTTCTGAGAGATATTGCTTGTGCTTGTTCCACTTTTGAGCTTGGAATTGTATATGGTTGTCACAGATACATCATTGACTTTGAGGTTTGGTTAAAATGGATCCGAGGCTTAATGGACATCCGAGTTCTTTGAATAATTTTCGATTTGGGAACCAACCATTACCTTTTTCTTCAGAGCAGAGGATGATTAATGGACCAAGATTTGGACTTATTTATTCAGATCAGAATCTACTCAATGGTCCTAGACTTGAAAATAACTTTGTCCAACACGATTTTGGTGCTGTTGGATTTATAAGTGGTGACCATTTACATACTAATGTAGAATCAAGAACTGACCTTGGCGTTGAGAACGACTTCAACGAAGATATTGATTTCTCAGATGCAGTGTTGAGCTATATAAATCGGATGCTAATGGAAGAAGACATGGAGGACAAGACAGATATGCTTCAGGAGTCCTTGGAACTTCAAGCTAAAGAGAAGTCACTTTACGAGGCCCTCGGTAAGAAGTATCCACCATCACCGGAGCAAAACCTGTTTACTGATCGGAACAGTGAGAGTCCTGATGACTACTTTGCAGGAAGTATATACAATTCCACAAGTAATACTGGGGACAGTAGTGGTTACCTAATCGATCCAAGGGGGGTTAACATTTCCACTGACTGCAATTCTTCTTACTTCGAAGGCCTTTCATTTCATAATACTTCTTCAGTATGCTCATCAAATAGTGGGAGTAATGTTGTCGATGGATTCTTAGACTCTCCTGTTAGTTCTTTTCATATTCCTGATATATATGATGAGAGTCAATCTATTTTAAACTTCCAGAAAGGAGTTGAAGAAGCAAGTAAGTTCCTCCCGACTAGTAATAAGTTGTTGAACAGTGTAGATATAAATGGCTTGCCATCTTGGGAGCCCCAAAGGCAAACTGGTTATGCAGCTGCTCAGGTGGAGGAAAAGGATGAGGGAGAGACTTCACCAACTGAGGCGAGAGGGAAGAAAAATCCTCTGAGGGGTGATAATAATATAGAAGGAGAAAGGAGTAGTAAACAGGCTGCAGTTTTTACTGAATCAACTCTGCGATCGGAGGAGTTTGATATCGTCTTGCTGAATAGCATGGGGAAGGGAGGAGAAGCACTAGAAGCTTATCAACAAAACCTGAGGAATGCTAAAAGCAAAATTACAGTGCAGATATCAAAAGGATCAAAAGGAGGAAAGGGCCGGGGGAAGAAACAGGGTGGAAAGAAGGAAGTCATAGATTTGAGAACTCTCATGATAAATTGCGCACAGGCTGTTGCTGCTGACGATTCCAGGATTGCGTATGAACTTTTGAAACAAATCAGACAACATTCATCCCCATTTGGAGATGGAAACCAGAGATTGGCTCATTGCTTTGCAGATGGTCTCGAGGCACGTTTGGCTGGTACTGGTAGCCAGATATATAAAGCTCTTGTCAATAAACGAACATCTGCAGCTGATCTTTTGAAGGCCTACCATTTGTATCTCGCATCTTGCCCATTCAGAAAGATCTCAAGTTTTGCTTCAAACAAGACAATCATGATAAAGGCAGAGAATGCAACAAGGGTTCATGTTATTGACTTTGGCATCCTGTATGGTTTCCAATGGCCTACATTCATCCAACGTATTGCAGAAAGAGAAGGGGGGCCACCGAGGCTTCGTATTACTGGCATAGAGTTTCCCCAACCAGGTTTCAGGCCAGCGGAACGGATTGAGGAAACAGGTCGCCGTTTGGCTGATTATGCTCGATCCTTTAATGTTCCATTTGAATACCATGCAATTGCAAAGAAATGGGAGAGCATTACAGTTGAGGATCTAAAACTCGACAAAGATGAATTTCTTGCTGTCAACTGCTTGTATCGTTTTAAGAACCTGCATGATGAGACTATTGCAGTTGAAAGTTCAAGAACTGTCGTTCTCAACCTCGTAAGGAAGATCAATCCAGATATTTTCGTCCATGGTATTGTCAATGGGGCCTATAGTGCCCCATTTTTTGTCACACGGTTTCGTGAGGCCTTATTCCACTTTTCTGCAATTTTTGATATGCTTGAAACTATTGTTCCCCGTGAGATTCCAGAAAGACAATTAATTGAGAGAGAGATATTTGGGAGGGAAGCCCTGAATGTCATAGCTTGTGAGGGGTGGGAAAGAGTTGAACGACCAGAGACATACAAGCAGTGGCAAGCTCGTATTATGGGGGCAAGGTTTACGCAGATACCTTTTGACCGGGAGGAATTCGTGAATAAGGCAATACAGAAAGTGAGGTTAGGATATCATAGAGACTTTGTAATCGATGAAGATAGCCAGTGGTTGTTGCTAGGGTGGAAAGGAAGAACAATTTACGCCTTATCCTGTTGGAAACCTGTGTAAGAAACTTGAAACACATTCTTACTTTCGAATCCCAAGTCCATCCACATATTTGAAGATCAAATGCAGCAATACAGTTTGTAAGGCTCTTGATGTATTTGTATCATTTTTTTCTCATACTCTAAAATTTGACACAATTTGCCAATGTATGTCACAGGTAACTGGCTTCTCAGTGTCTTGATACAGTAATAAAGACTGTAACAACAAGATCATTTGGTTGCTAAACTCGTCGAGTTTCCTAATATGGACGGGGCTATAATGCTGCAGCGTACACTTCAATAACCATCTGATAATCAGACAAGACGAGGCTTCGGTGCATGTTCTTGGTGATGATCATCAGCATACACAACATAGGAGTTGAGTTGATTGAATCGATATTCCATAGAAGAATGACCGAGGCCATAAAATCATTCGTTGAAGAGCTAGCTGACAAGCCATTACTGCACAGTGTGCATCAGATATGTACTCTGGAATTTTGTGAACTTGCAGTATATGTTAGTTTGTTCAATATACTTGGAGCCCTATTTGAAGTTAAGTTATATACGCTGACAGTGTAAATATTTTTTTTTTACTATATGTGTAATTTAACTGCAAGTAATAGTACATTGATTTAAACTAAACATTTTTTCAAATGAGAGAAAATCTTTCAAGATTTTCCATGTGACTTGTTAACAAATTGCATTAAAAATATTTGTGGGGACTTTTAAGTCCAATTGATAACAAAACTTTGAAAATTGTGATGTCGTTTATCTGTGGGACAGAGAGCAGAACTTATTGACTAGCTGTATTTACATCTTATTGTCGGGGGTTCGATTTCCTATCTTGTGATTTGTTTCTTCTCTATTTATGTATAATATTAATACTAAAAGAACGGTGGAGGTTGTGTTGAAGATGTACTGAGGTACATGACAGATGCAAAGCTAGAATTTAAAGTTACGAGTTTTGAATATATATATATTATTTTTTATTTTAAAAAATAAAATATAAATACATAATTTAAACAAAAATTAATAGATTCGTCCAAATCCATACCTTATAATGTAGTGTTGCCCCATTGTACTAATATACAAGTAAAACCAAATCTAAGCACCTATAGATTCAGGGCGATTCAGTAATTTTTGTTCATATCACAAATGTATATGTGTATTAAATATTTGTCTATAAATGTAGTTATAAATTAATATAAAAATTTATATAAACTTTAAATTCAGAATCTGCCGTCGATAATGTTCATTTTTTCCTGAAGTAAGACTTACTAATAAAGAATTGATTTCAAAAGAGAGAATCAAGTTTTGAAATGTCTCATATTTAGGGACCACAATGCATGGTATTCTCTTTGATGGGACTTATTATTTTATTTAAATTAGAGTCAAAACCAGCAAAAAAAAAAAAAGAATCATAGTATATAATATGTTTTTTTTAGTGTATATAATATATGTTGATATAAGCACAAATAACGGCCGAAACGCCATTGATAAAGACATAGTGCTTCCCAATAATTTCTCATATAAAAAATAAATGTTTTCTTTGACCAATGAGATATTAAAGAACTTAATATAACACATCAACAAATTAAAGATGTACTTAATATAGCTGACTGAGTCTAATATTTTATTTATTAGAATATTTAATATTCATAGTTATAGTAAAAGAGTAATACTTTAATCGTTTAAGGAATATACTAATTTATTTTTGTGGCTATTCAAAACACGTCTAATTTTCTACTTTGTTTATACGATTATTCAAAGTCCTACCATTAATAAAATTTAAGAAATAATTAAAAAAGATCAACCATATATAAGTAAATTTAACGGAAAGAACATCAATGATCTTGGCAACAATTATATAAGTTTTGATACTATCATGAAATTCAAAAATAAAAAACATCCATAAACACCAATATAAATACATATTATTTTCGTTAATTTATAAGATATGTTTATTCTTAAAATTCAAGATAGGTGAAATTTAATAAATATTTTGTTTATCTACTTTTCTTACAAGTTTCTTAAGAAATTATAAATATAAATAATAATTTAAATAATTTATTCCTCTAATTTTCTACTTTGTTTATACGATTATTCAAAGTCCTACCATTAATAAAATTTAAGAAATAATTAAAAAAGATCAATCATATTTTCAATTTTCATGCTACTTAAATCTCTTCAAAATATCCTAAGGCGGTATGCCTTATTGTTATGCATATATGCATTCATAATTTGTGATTGTTCAGAATCTAGACGTTATGAATTTTAAGTTGTTTGAATGGATTCCGAAATGTAAGGTGGTAGTATTTGGGTTGTTGGTAAAAGATCATATGCTAGCTAAAACAAAAGTTTTAAATGTTTGTAAAGCTCATAATGCTGACTTTATTAGGTGACTTTTATTTTACAACCATTAAAAAAAGAATTGTAGATGTATATCAAAACAATTGTCTTAAGCTATCTACATATTTTATTAAGTTCATATATTTTAAAAAAAAACAAAGACTTTGGGTTAGTTTGGTACTAAGAAAAATGTTTTTTTTTTTATGGAAAATAAGTAATAAAAAATAAAATCAAAGAAATATTTATACATAATAGGAATATCTAAAGAAGGGGTCAAACCACATGGATCTATTATACACGGCTCGAACTCATGACCTCCTGATCACAACTTTACTAGTAACGTCAAGTCTCCCGGAGAACCATTTGCATATGAATTATAAAATCATGGCCTTGATCCACCAGATAAGTTTGATTGCCATCAATGATGCATAAAATGAAAATCATAAAGTTGAAACATTATTTGGTGAAGCATGCAAATGCAAGCAAGTAATAATAAGATAGTAGTTTGCATTTGGCACAAGTGCAAACAGTGCTTATTGAGTTATTTGCCTTCCAAACATCAGAAAAATCAAGAGAGGCACATAACATAACCCTCTACTGTATCATTGAACTATGGGCAAGTCATCTCTGAGTATGCCATGGTGTCGATGAGGTTAGCTGCTACGCAGGGGGGAACGGGGAGGGATCTGCAATCGTACAACCAAACTCAGATGCTTATCTACCTTCAGTTTATAGCCTCCCCTTTGAACAAATGTTGGCAGAAAAGAGTGATGAAAATTTTGGACATAGTCCTAGTGAGATGTATATCAGAAACGAGTAGCGATTTGTGCAAATAGAGTCTTGAAGTCCTTAGTTGGAGTGCCAGTTCCCTCAGGTTTTGAGGCCAGATCAAATGCCTTAAATTTTGCTTCCTCATACTGCAGTGCCTGTTCAACATCAAAATGCCTCAAAGAGTTTAGTCATAGAAGATGAGCAAACAAGCAGCAAAGCTCTAGAGAATGAGGTTTGATGAAAGCATGAAGCGTTGAAGCAGACCAAAGTAAAAGCAAAGGACCTATATAGAATCAAAAAAGATCTGAGGCCGTTAATATACCTGAATGCAAACTTCTGCAACATCAGCCCTAGCAACAGTTTTAGTTTCTGTCTCGAGAAGTTCATCGTCCTTACCAACAAGTAGTTCCCTTATACCACCTTCTTTATCTTGTAGCCCTCCAGCCCTGAAAAAAAAAAGAAGAAGCATAAAAATAGTGATCAAACAGCAAATCTTAAATGAAATTTGGGATGATTGTAAAATAGAGGTCACATCACAGGAATAATTGACAAGCGAGTGGAATAATAATAAAAATGAGGGCATAAATCTTGGATGAATTTAGTATTGTCCAAGAAGAACTACAGTTTTCTGTATTCACCAGTTGAAATCAAAATTGAGTATAAAAGTACACTTTGTCTAACAGTTTGAGCTTTTAAACGAGTTGGACACACTCTTCAACATGGTAAGAGAGTAGGCAAAGATTCTAAGTTCAAGTCTCACCTTTATCCATTTTCAAAAATAATCTCCAAGTGCTTGTATAATGAAAAAGAACTGGGCTCGCATGCGAGGAGCTTTATTGAAAAACCAAAATATAATTACATAAAGGCATAATACAGAGATAGACACCTTAACTTGACAACTAAACACTCCAACGTTGAGAATGCACATCCTCGTCCCTACTATGTCTCATGGACACCTGATGCTGACGTGGGACATAAGTTATGGAGGTGTCTAGATGATCATTTTGTAAGTTGGAGGTGTTCAACTCACACAGTGGTGACAAGTTGAGGTATCTTTTCGCGCTTCTCCTATCAAATTTCTAGTTAGAGAGAGAGCTAACTGCTGCCAAAACTAACCGTTTTTCATTCTTCATCCTTCCTTTTAGTAGTGTTCTTGACTAAAATCATAAATGGTGATCTTTTCTAAAAGATGTAATGAAAGGAACTCCGGGGTCAAAGGGTGTTCTTTGGAATTGTGTGATCTCCATAGAGATGAAGGATGACAACATTAAGCTACAAACAAATTATACAATAATCCATCTCTTCTGCCTTCCATAAATATTTTTATCAGCATACCAAGAAATATTAGTGGGTTCCTTCAGTAGGTTAGATACTCTGCTCTTCCTAGTAAATGCTCAGGAATTTGGTTTTGTATGCATAACGTAGTCAAGTTTTTTTTTTTCTCACTTTATCTTTGAAGCATATTGAACTATATTTGCACACAAGTGTATTTTGAGGGACAAATTTTAGCCCTAAGAAAAGAGAAACTGTCATTTGCCCCGAAGCCTGTCCATTTTGGCCTAACAACTCTCACAGATTTATTCCTTCAGTTATGCTGTTCGATTAAGCCACCATGAGACAAAAGAATGCATACCATGTTAACTTGCGCTCACACATCTCTCCCCTGCCCCCTTCGAAAATCTGTCAGCCTAGAAGCCTAGCAATCCTTCTCTTTGACCTGCCCTCCATTTACCCAATTTCCGTCATGGGAGTCATATGGCCCTCCTTTAGAACACAACATCCTTGCTGAGGTATGCCCCACATCGTATTGCGAACGTTTGGCTCTGAGACCATATGTATAACAGTCCAAGCCCATCGCACGTATTGTCTGCTTTGACCCAACAGATCTCAAAAATTTGTCCCTTGGGCTACACCAGCAACGAGCCCAAAAGCGTCGACCGTGTGAACTTGTGCTCTTATAGCGCTTTACTCTTCTCTGCCTTTCTGATGTGGGATTTGCCTATGGTATCATATACACCTTTTTCAGAAGCTTGGCAGCTTAGATGCTTGTCAGTCATTCTCTTTGACCCGTCCTCATCAGCACACACACACACCCTCTCCCGTCACGGCCATCATAAAGCCATCCTCTTTCCTTATCACAGTACTATATATTCCTGACCCAGCATTATTTTGGCTCAACAGAATTATTTTTCAACTACTAATTCATTTCCCAAATTTGCTTCATATTTCTTTCAAATATGCAAATCCTTTTGCCGATTAAAAGAAACACATTTGCAAGCCTTAGAGAATATACCTACAAACTGGTTAAAAGTAAAAGCTTCTAAAAAACTTACTATACTAGTAGGATAGTGTGACTCACATTTTTTGGTTTATTTCACACCTATTATGGCATAAATATCTATTAAGAGAACCTTTGGTTATTATAAATGAACATTCAATGCTTTTGCCATATTTATACGGCCACAAAGGAATATTGATACAGATATGAGCATTGAACAAACCTTATAATTGTATATGGAATTCCAGAGTCAGCCAAATATTGTTCTGCCTTTCTCTTCCAAATCTGTAACCTTCATAAAAGTTAGTCTGCCAGAATTTATGAATGACAATAATTCCCAAAAGAGAAAGAAAGTCGAAACGTAACAGTGAGAAACTAATCAAGCATCATCCAAATAAAAAGTTTGTCAGTAGTCAGCAATGTAATATTATTAAATCCCTTGAAGTTACATTCTTTTCCAAACACGCATAACTGGAAAATAATTATCCTCTCCTAAGATGCAAGCATAGGACCAAGGTAACATCTATATAAGTTATGACATCTAATATGTTAATGCAATGGCAGCATCATTGAGGAATGCACTTATTATAAAAATATACTCCCTCCGTTTCAGTTTGCTTGTCTTACTTTTCTTTTAATCCGTATTCTTTTACTGTTTAGTCCGTTTCAAAATGAATGTCTCTTTTCCTTTTTAACAAATCACTAATTTCAACTTTTCACATGACATGTTTAAGATGACATGTTTAAGAGTACAAGATTGAAAGACATTTTTGTACACTCTACATATCTTTATTTTAAGACCACAAGATTCGAAAGTCTTCTTTACTTTCTTAAACTTTGTACTAAATCAAAAACAGTCAAACAAATTGAAATGTGGGGGAGTGGGAGTATATTACATCTAATATGACTTCAAATAGCTTCTGATACTCGACTATGAGAAACAAAAACTTGTAGAAAGATGGAACAGGTAACAGTATGCATGCAGCCACAATATTTTTGCAGCTGTGGAAATGTTCAGGCACTGTGGCCATCAAAATGGCAGTAGAAATAAAGCAAAGAGAGTACTTTTGCGGGAAAAAGATCAAGGAAAAGAATCAAGTTACAAACCAATATATTCCCGTTCCCCAAACTGTTCAAGGGGTGGTTAGGATTTGTCCCTCCCATTGACCCAACTAGCACGATCTGCTTCACACCAGCAGCTTTAGCTGTAAAATGCATAGTGTATATCTTAGATAAGCAGATAGAAGTGCATTCTAAGTACCAGAACTGCCCAAGATTATTCCATACCAGCATCTATTTGGTTCTTTTGGCCGATCCAATCTACCTAAAAATACAAAGTCAGTAAATTTTGTGTCAGACAACAACAACTAAGAACCCGAGGACGGATATGAGTACCCAAAGCATGATGTACCTGTTCAGGATTTTCCCCATCCTCAAAATAGAATTCAGGTCTTCCACCTTTTGTTGGATCAAACCCAGGTTTCATTTTTGGAACAGCACTTGTAAGAATAACAAGAGCATCAATACCTTGTATAGCAGGAACAAGACTCTCGGTATTCCTAATATCACCAATATAAACATCATCTGCACCACCAATTTTTTGTTTGCTTTCCTCTGTTCTAACCAATCCTCTAGCTGTATAATTCTCTGACCTCTCCTTCAACTTCTTATAGACAATTGATCCTACAATTTGAACAATGTATCAATAAAAGTTCAGCAGAATTGTTGATCATGTTAGGAACAATAATATCTCAACTTACATCATACTATAAAGCTCACAGCCACTTGACATGATCGATTCTAGCATTAGTCACTTACCAAGAAGCCCAAGAACAGAAAAGAAAATTCCGACAAAAGTTGTATCTCCAATTAAGTCATTGTGTGAAAGTTCTTAAACATTTTCAAGTTCAGTCATGTGTTTATTTAACAAACAACCAATTGAAATATGATGATAAATAACCAACAGACCAACAAAATTTGGTTTTACCGTTTTAGAGCGCACAAGCTATGAGAATCTGACCACCTGAGCTCATATCTCTTCTTGTAGAGTATTCTTTTTGAAAGGGGGAAAAAAATAAAAGCCTTATCTTCTAGAACCAGTGGCGGATCCAGGATTTCCATTAAGGGGTTCAGAAAAAAAAAAGCAGTGCCTAAGATTCTTCGTTGCGTGGACTCTTCACTTTTGATGCCGCACCCGTCTCAAATTCTTCAAAAATACACTACTTTTGGCGAATCCGACACGCACCCGTTGGCATTTTTGAAGAGTCCGAGCAACATAGCTAAGATTTGATCTTGGAACCTTACGGTTAGTTTTGAACCCCTCAACCACTAAGCCAACCTCTAATCTTACATTTAGGAGGTTCAAAATCAATATATAGACATAAAAATTCTTTAAAATACCTTAAATATACAACATAATTTTTTGCCGAGGGGTTCGGGTGAAACCCCTCGGCAACCTCTAGGTCTGCCCCTGTCTAGAAAGATGTGTTCACTGATCTGCATCCAAAGATGTGTTCTAATGGTCAATAAAGTGGATTGAGAACCATGAGGACTCAAGTTCAAATCCGCTTGCCAAAACACTACTGATTTCTTCTCATCTGTTCCAGCCTTGCTGGATAGAGTTACTAGGTACCTGTACTAGCAGAAGGTAACAGGTATCCCATTCCTTCCAGGTACTGCATGGAATTAGTCAAGGTACGATCAAGCTAGCCCGAGCACCACGATAAATGTATCAGTTAATCTCCTCTCCACAATTTTTTCCCAATGCCTTAGCTAGGTCTCATTATTATCACACTCATACAAATTCCAATGCCTCAATCCCACATTACTTCCCCAAAATCCAAAATTATAAATAGAATCCCCAAGAATTAGCACCCTAAAAACTACATAAACAATTTTTGGAAAAAAAAATATAATCTTTATACTTAATTCACACCCCATAGCCACAAAATATCAGTAGTTACAGAAGTACTCCACATTAAAAAGGGCAGCCTGGTGCATAAAGCATTCCGGGTTAGCCTGGACACCCCAAGATGTCCAAGGACAGTCTACCCTAATACACGAATTAGTGGCTGCTTCCGTGACTCGAATCCGTAACCTATAGATACAATACAACTTTACCATTGCTCTAAACCCCTTCTTACTTCCAAAAGGAAAAAACACTCAACCTAACACAATTTCATTAAAGATTATCAAAATCAAGAACCCCCCAAAAGCATAAAAAAGGTAACTTTACCAGTTCTTCCACCAGCACCAGTAACAAGAACAGTGCTTGTGTTCAAATCAGCCATTGCCAACACTGAGAACCTGCAAAATTTCTTGTTTTTCTGTGGAAATGAAACAAATGATGAGGTAGTTTTTACAAGTGAAGAAGACAATTCTGGAAGTCTACTTAATTTATGGCATTGGTAAGGAGATACACGTGTCATGGCAGCCATTTTTATAGCAAAGATTGTTTTTTTTAGTGAATCAAATGTTGTGTGTGAACTTATTACAGTATTAAGTTAGTTGGGATTTTTGTAAACTTTCTTATCCATTTGTCAGATTTTCATGTCACCTTATCAACTTCTCATAGGGGTTTTATGGTCTACTTGTTGGGCCTATAAAGTAAACCTGATGGGGTTGGAGTCCCACCCTATCATTGGGCCTAAAGACCTTCTACGTTCGTCGGCAAACAACACTTCTCCTCTCGCTCACAGAAAGAAAAAGGTAATAGTTATACACCTCTTTCTTACCATATTCACTATAGGGAGTCAATATTCATTAGAAGTCAGTATTTCCATGTATGATTATAATTAGTGGTTACATATTGTTTAGTTACGATTCATAGCTATGATATTGGAGTTATATCTATTCGTTCTATCCAACGATATTTATTTGTTTAATTTTGTTGGATACATTACATTTGGTAGTTGCATTAATATATATAACTTTACAGGATAAACTGTATATATTTGTTCAACCTAATTGTATCAGCACATATAGTTTCATTAGATATATTGAATTATATTAGCATAAACGATACATTTAAAATCATCACCTCGAAATGTCACACATACAACTAATATATATTTGTATTTTTGAGTGTATACAACATGTCCAAAACTAACCATTTCTAAAAAATTATCACCTAAATTTAAGGAATAAGAGAAGGTAGTCCATGAATGAACATAATTGCATTATTTTTTCTTGAAATGAGTGTTTTTTCCTCTTTTAAAAAAATGAATGTATACCTAATAAGGCATAAGTCTTTAGAAATCGAAGTCATATAAGGCATAATTTCTGAAATTTGTAAAAAAATGAAAAAATAAATAAGAAAAAGACATAAATTGTGTAGTATTTTAGGAGAATAAGGATAGCTAGTCACAGACGATTTTCTCACCTACATAATATACATATCCAAGACTTCCTAGCTAGAGGCTACACGGTTTCAAACCACGGGACATGGAAAAAAGAGTAGCTTTCTAGGTTTTGTCATTGTAGGGTCAGAAATTGTAGGAGTGTTCATAAATTGAATTTATGCGTTTTAGACATCTATTATCTATCCTTTTTAGAGAGAAAAAAAATACATGAATCAACATAAAATTGGATAAATTATTCTTGAAATGAGTTGATTTTTAATTTTTGTCTCTTTGACAATTAAACGTATACCTAAGCGGGTGTAACTCTTTAGCAACCGAGTCGTGTGGGTCATAATTTAAGGATAGTTATATTCCGTGAAAATGTAAGAGTACTTTTATGAGCAATTTTCACACATAGCAAACATACAAATCATATTTGTTTGTAATAGCTATAGTTTGCATAATTGCGTTCCATAACAAATTTTATGTTTGCTATGGAGTTTTTGATTTGTATAATTCGCTAGATACATCTAATTTTTTACAAATTGTTCAGTTTTGTATAAATTCATTTATACATTGTAATTTGTATAATAAGATCTGTATTTGTATAATTATAAGTGTGTAGGACGAAAATATATGTATTTGTATTTGTATATACATTTTTCTCTCGCTTTATACAAACACAAACGCATTTTATACATTTGTATACCGAATGGGTAATTGTATACCGAAAGTGACAAATTGTATACCAAACCATATGGCAAAACATGGGATGTTTGCGGCAAATTACAAATAAAATAAACTATGACTATAACATTTAATTTGAATTAATAATTTACTATTTCATACAATTTTCCCTACTTTTATCCACATTTTTTTATTGAATAAGTGAAGACAACATACAATAAATTTAATAAATACTTGAAAATCAAAGAGACAAATTAAACATCAATCCATTTAAGGGACAGTTCATTCAAAATCAAGAAAATAAAATAATAGTAAAGCAAAGTCATGATAAAATACAACGATTTAAATATCATCGAAATCCAAATTTCAATCCCATCAAAATAGAAATTTTATTTAATAATCTATCCTCCATATAAAAATTTAAAATATAAAAAGAAAAATGAGACAAAAGAAATAAACGCAATCCCACCCAAAACATGATCCTTCACCCTGCCACCCCCATCTACCCAAAGCCAAAAAAATAATAATATATCAAATGGAACTTTATTGTAAGTATAAACATAATATGATAAATCTTATAGTATATTGATTATTGATGATATATAGTAGCAAAAATTATGGTATATTAATGATAGTTTTGGGTTAATGCATCACATATAGAGTTAATATAAACGTATGGTATGCTAATAACTTAAAAGTTGTATTAACATCAATTTATACATATGGAACCAAATGCCTAAAGTGAGATTGAAATGATTCGAGTTTCTAAAGAAAATAAACAAATGCCTTAGTAATGAAGTGCGAGAATTTGGTGGTGGTATGTTTGAGAAGAGGAAAGGGTATAGGTCGAGGAGTAATTAAAAAGAAGTTATTACGCACGGCGACATGATATATCTGCCGCTCATCAAGAATATGTTTCTAAATAAGAAAATATAAAGATCGAGGATTATGATATTCTGGCCTAGTTGCAATCCATCGACATAGGCTTCAAACTAGGTTTTGTTAAATCAAACATATAGTTGTTATTAATAATATCAGTTTGGCTTCACATGGAAATGGCAGGCCATTAAATGACATCATTCTGTACCCCATCAAACCTATAATTACACAACATGTCAATTAGTCACAATCTTGAAAATAACAAAAAATTCCAAGCCACACTATTGTGCTGATGCCAGATTGATTATACATCTTAATCATAATCTGTTATATTTGTAAATAACGTATTAGTATCAATATCCATCCCACGTGAATCATGTTTGATGCGTTACGCCATCTTGTTGATAACATTTTAAAATAACAACTAAGTTATCTTGTTGATAACATATTATATCGTATCCAGACAAACGACGTTATAGGGATCTTTCAATTTAGTAAGATCTTTAATCTAATCTTTTTGAGTTACTTGGATAATAATACAATTTTTGTAAACACCTTATAAAATATGTGGGCTATGGTTGGTTTATAGCCCCCACTAACATCATACTGAAAGAGATGCAAAGCTTTATCCTTTGGAATAATTAATAATTGAACTTTATTATATAATCATAGAAAGGTAGACTGATAAATATAGAATTTATTTACAAGATTTGTGAATGGAAAGGAAATACTATAACTAGTTATTAATTGATAATAATGACAACAAAACATCAACATCATTTAAATCAAATTTGACAGGACATTTGGATCTTCCCATAATCATTCTTGATTTTTTTTTTCTTCTGCCAACAGCATGATGATGATATAGTACTACTACTGATTCTAAGCTGTGACAGATGTCTCAACAGCTACACCAGAGTAGTTAACTTCAGCCAGCCTGTCAACTTCCCAAAGTTGTGGTATTGCTTCTCTTATGTTGTGGATGCTTTCTAATGCATAATCTGCACCTGCAACTCTTTGGGAATTTCCAACCTGAAATGTAACAGCAACAACACATGAGCATTAGAGGTAATAGTGCACAAGATTAGACAGGACATGGCTACATGACCATAGATAGAAAAGTATGAAGGTCGAGTATTAGAGTTGACAGTTAGTTGGTAGTAGAGTGATCCCGCACTGTGTGTGGGAGAGAGGTGGGGTTAGCCTCATCCCCTCCCCTAACCTCTTGCTATTGTATTTTCCTTGCTACAGATTTTTTTTCTTTAAAGCGAAGGGTCTATAAGAAACAGTCTCTCTAGGGGTATGTTGTTGTTGTAATAGTGCATGAGATTACTCTAATAAGTACTGTTCCCTTTGTTTCGCAAGTGTAGGACTATATGTAGTTTAAGAAAGATAAACTTCTGTCTTGAACATGCTCTTGGGGTTAAAAAGTGTCTCGTTAATGGTAAAATACGAAGTTTGAAGTTACGAATTTCTCAAATATTTATAGAAATGGATCGTTATTTGTGGAGGAGAGGGAAGAGTGTCATATAAAATGAAACAAAGGGAGTACAACTACTTACCAATACTGTATCAAGACCTACACACTTGCCAGCTTGAATGTTACGGACACTATCTTCAAAGAAAAGCTGTAACATAGAAATTTTTCCAAATGAGTACGTTAAGATAGCAGTGATTCTTGAAGTAGTATATTCAAGAATGAAACAGTTAAAGTTCTTACTGTTCTGTGAGGGTTAATGTTGGCAATCTTTAAAGCCCGTTCAATGGCAACTTCAGAAGGTTTGCAGACAATTGGTGTCTTTGGCAACACTGATCCAGCCTTAGGTTGAGAAAAGTGTCCAATAATGTCAAAAATCTCAGAGCCGTTAGTAGCAGTGGCATTGGAGGATGTGGCTGATCCAACAAACTCAATGTCGTCTTCGTCATCTGATGGAGTGCTCTTGTGAACTGGATTCAGTGTCTCAAAGCATAATATCCCTTCGAAACAATCTTCCAATCCAAGTTTACTCAGAGCTTTCAGAGCATGGACCTTATCAGCATTAGTGAAGATCTGTTACACCGAAAAAAAAAGAACATTTAGAAAATGCTACACAACCAGCCATTTTCAATGGCTATAAAATGCATATGAATTGTGATAATGGACTTACAACTTTGCGAATGGGAATGCTTAGCAAAAGATTTCTCAGAACAGGGTCGGGCCTCAAATTTTCATAAGGTAATCTACCATGGATAAAACTGCAGAAAACAAATTGGCAATTTAAGTTCAATAACCCAATACAATACAATGAGAGTATAAGACTAATGGAGTGCTACAAATATTCACCTATGGTACTCATCATAGTCAAAATCGTAGCCAATTGCCTGCCAAAAATAAACAAGTTGTCTCATTAAGTTAAAAGTTGTCAAAATAAAACTTCGTTTGGATGATCAAAATTTGATTCTAAAAGGGCAAAATTTGAAAGAAAAAAAAAAAATCAGAAAGAACTTTACCCTGAGGCCTGCCATTGTGGTTCCATAATTCTTGTACAGTAAATTACCCAACTCCTCAATTTTGCTTTGTTCTATGCCAAGCTTTTCAACCATATAATCTGCAGAAGCACATTAATTCCTAAATT